TATCGAAGGCAGCTGACAAGTCGGTGTATATGACGTCTGTTTGAGTCCTCTCTGCCATGCTTTCCGTAAGATACGATGTCAAACACAGCAGATTTGTGGAAGTAGAACAACCGGAAGTGAAGCCGTGTTGATCACCACTTAGATACTGCTTACAATGAGAGAGTAGAGGCTCCATGATGACTAACTTGAATAACTTCGAAACTGCACTAAACGACGTAATTCCACGAAAATTGTCCACATCCCGTTTGCTGCCCTTTTTGTGGATAGGAAACATATGTGTGAATTTCCAACAAGATGGAAATGTACCACTCGAGATGGACAATCGAAATAGCAAGCTGGCGATATGCTTTTTCAGGAATACGGATGGAACGCCATCGGGTCCTGGATTGAAGGACGACATGAGTTGTGATGCGGCAGTGGAAATCATCTCGACGTTGACATCCATCGCACCCAGTGTTTGACCGTACAGTGGAACATTACTAGCTGCTAGGGTAACGTGTTCGTCAGTAAATCTCTCATTCGTGAAAACACTGACGAACTTCTCAGAAAACAAGCGACAGATCTGCTGAGGAGTGGAAGCAACTGCTCCATTCAATACCATTGAAGAAGGTAGGCCGGATTCCTTGCGCTGCTCATTTACGTATTCCAGAATGACTTCGGGTGTGACTTGAGTTTTCTCTGAATCCCTCGTTGATATCGCGAATAGCATCGACGGCTAACTCGCTTGAGGAACTCATAATTGAGCCTAACGTAGTGACGTTTCAGCGAAAGCGTACGATACTTAGTGAATTTTCTTAATGCGGTTCTCTTGGTCGACTTCAACCTACGCAGTTCACTCGTCTGCCAGGGAGGATGAGAAATTTTACGGTGAAAAGACATGTGAAAATGTTTGCGCAGCGGTTTCAACATTATCGGAATCGAGGATGCTTTCCCAATCTATACTAGATAGCACGTTGACGATACTACGGTGATCGGCTTTCCGGAAATCGTATGACACGGTCGTGGAAATGTCGTCAAAGACCCGATCGTGATTGTCAGCAACAGTGACAACCAAGGGAGGGTGATGATGTACTTGCTTTACTAGTGGAGAAGGTGCCGTGGAGATGAAAGGAGCGGTGTCCTGAACGCTAACGAAGCAGAGGTCCAGGCTACGGTTGTTTTCGTTGACTACGTGGTTTATTTGAGATAGTGTTGCTGTACTATAGCAGTCGAGAAGGCTTGATGAGTAGAAGTGAAAAATCGACATCCACTGCCATTTTGGAATCCAAGATGGAGGACCAAAATCCAATATGGTGGCCTACGGACAGCGTATATGCATCTAAACCCATGCAATATGGGTATTAGGGTGGGACAAAATTCAAACTCCAGTTCCAGTATGATTTCGGGGGCCTTTTGGATCCTAGAGTAACTGTGTAATATTTCAGGTCGGTCGGTGTAACTATATTTTAGCGCCAGTGGTTTTAATTTTACAAAGGAATTTCTATAGGAAAACTTACTTTTTCAAATAAAAATCTCACGAGGTCACCCATTGTCTTCAAAAAATAAATCAATCCAACTACTTCCTAGGAAATTTTACAAGGAAGTTTAATGAATTGACCTTTTTCGCAGTTGTTCAGGACATTCCGAAAGCTCACCCAGTAGATTCCAGTGTCCATTTTCCGGTCATCAGTCCGAATTCGTTCAAATGAGTATTCTAAAAGTGCTTTCTAGGATAAATTTTATAAATTTATCACTTTTAAGCCGACATATTGAACTTCAAAATGGCGGTGGATGTCAATTTTCCACTTCTACTCATCGAACCCATTCCGTAGATATGGGTATATAGATATAGCATGGGTTTAGATTAGAGATGGGCAATATAGTTGTTCTATAGACCCGATTCTCTAAAGTGAGCTGATGACCCGCGGTTCATTTTTTAGGAACTGCAGCTCATCAGCTCACTGATGTCACAAATCTAAACCATTCAATCCATCACTCATAGCGGAACTTTTCAGAAAAGGACCGCGTAAACCAAGACGCGCGCCCAATACAACATGTGCCTACTGATCGACAGCACCAACGGTAAAAGCAAACTTCCAAGCGGCTGTTTGGGAGAGAAAGAGACATATGTACACTACCGACCATAAGTTTAAGGACACCCCCAAAAAACCATGCCAATATGTTTTGTTAAATAATCTCTCATTTTACGTTCAATTTTCGATCTCCAAAGGTTATTTGAATGCTATGAATGGTATAGCATAAGTGTTCTACCACAGACAAACAGACATAACTCATTGAATATTTCTCACTGTAAAACATCGTTGCTAAAACATTACCGCCATCTGTTGAGTACACTGTGGTGGGCACTACACTGAACAGATGGCGGTAGTGTGTAAACGTCAAACACAAGGGAATTGACTATACGCGCCACAGGTGGCGGTACTACCAAATACGATACTTTTAAATTGTCCGTTAAATGCTTGATCGATGAACAACTTGCGAGAGTTATGTCTGTTTGTCTGTGGTTCTACTACTACTTTTATTTCAAAATTTGGCCAACCCAATTCTGAGAAAATCAGTCACGATTCTTCAGAGTAAATTTTGAAAAATATTGTAACTTCGGGTAAACTTTTAGCACGCAAAATTTGTAAATTATATTGAACAAGTTGCCTACGAGGAAAGTTCCATTCAATACCTTTCAAATGATCTAAAGAGAACGAAAATTGGACGTAACATGACAGAGATATGAACATAACAAATTTGTCATGTTTTTTTGGGGGTGTCCTTAAACTTATGATCGGGAGTGTACATGTTAATTTTCTACTAGTATTATCCAATTTAGTTATGTACCCGGCTCTTGTTGCTGATGTTATTCCTCCAGTATATGTGCTCTCACCTCTCCTCCCATCATTCTCTGGGGAAGCGGAAGATCCACACAAAAGCAAATAACCGAAAATTGAAATGCAGCTCTCCAGCTTATCAGCTCAGCTCCGGATCTGAATCATCGACTGGAATGATTCACTGGGAGCATTTTTTTTTTGTATATTAATTTATTTGATAAGGCTCAACCGAATTAACTTAACAGAGCCGAGGATTCATGGTCACTATACAATACATCTTAAAGCTATAGTCAAAAGGTACAACACAATAAACACTTTATCTATCCAAAAAGCCTCCTCCATCAGAACTGGAGCCGCTCCCAGTAGTTTCATTGTATGGCAAATTGTTGTACGCCATCGAGGGTCACAGCACGTCAATGTCAATGGACGCAAAACGTGGTCAGCACTCACACACTCATCACGAAACGGTTGCTTTCCAAAGTCGACGACGCATCGACCGAAAGAACTGCTGATGAAGAACAATGAGGAGGACCACACAATTGACGAGTGCACGGATAGATTTGAGTTCACTCACTCGAAAAAAAGTGACACAACAGCGGGGCCCTGTTTACTCAAAATGAACACATGAATAATACTCACGTAACATTTGAAACGGGTCTATCAACTTATGTACACAAAACTTGTTAAGCCTTTTTCGCGCGAACCGAATACGCTCACGAAAACTAACAACACTTTCGGGCAGAGGAAATTCTCTCCTTCCCGATAGTGCTCTTGGTTTGCGTGGGCGTACTTCGATTCTCGTGATAAGGACCTAGCAAATTATTTACAAAATTGATAGGCCTTTTTCAAATGTTACGCGAGCATTATTCATGTGTTCATTTTTAGTAAACAGGGCCCCGCTGTTGTGTCACTTTTTGTCGAGCGAGTGAACTCAAATCAATCCGTGCACTCGTCTATGGTTGCTGCCGAGTATACAGACGATCGCGTAGCACACATCGAGAGTGGCCTGCTTTTGTCGACAGCCGAGTGAACACTGTCACTGGGAGCTGTTTAGGATGACAACTCTCGGACGCGTCCAGCTCTTTGGATCTCTTTTTTTTCTCTCTCGATTCTTTACGATTCAGCTCCGGATCCGGTTCTGAGCTGTTGATCTGGAGATGAAGTGAGAGAAATTCTGCTGGAGAATTAACATCAGAAATAAAATCTGTATGTATGTTTACGCGATGCTTGATCAGGTGTTGCGTTAGTGGCGTTTTCCATTGAAATGTAGAGCCATGTTGTAAGGTACAGATTTATCGGTTTAGGTTACTTTTACGATTGTATGCAGTTTTAAGCACTAAAACCACTAATTAATTTTCCGGTTTTGAATTTGTGTCATAATTTCTATAATTTCAATGTGTGATCAAAAGAATCGACTCCCTTTAGTGTGCTGGATAGGTTTGATCCACTCAGTCAGACGAGCTTTTTTGCTCACCTCTAGTTTAGATGCATATTCGCTGTCCGGAAGCCGCCATACTGGATTTTGGTCCGCCATCTTGGATTTGTGGAAGCCATCTTGGGTTGAAATCCACCATTTTAATTTCATCTGGAATGCTGAATTGAATTTCGGAATGTCCCAGACTCTAGAATTTAACATATCTTCAAATTCTATGATTTTAGATGATTTTGATCTTGGTTGATATTGATGCTGGTTGATTTTGGGGATCGAAAATCACAGCTGATATTGGTCGAAAATCACGGGTGGTTTTCGTGGTGATGATGGCTTGTGATATTGGTGCCTGCGATTTTAGGTGATATTGATCTTGAAAGATAGCTGATTTTGATTTTCTGATTTTAGCCAACACTGTTTTAAACCATATATGTATGACCACGCGGGCTCATAAGGGTTAAATCCGAGGAACATGACCGTCTACTATGGGGTAGGACAGACCAAATGGTCACCCTATTTAAATGCTGTGACTTTTTTTTATTGTTTTATTGTTGTCTATACTACCCATACACGCATAACTGTACCATTCGAATAGGAAATCAATCAAAGATGAGACTGTAACGTTTTTTTTTTGTTAAATCTCGGTTATTGTTTTAAGAGCGTTATTTACTAAATACGACAAAGTGAATATCACAGTGATGCCACTCGAATGCTGAGAATTCCTTTTCGTTTTCTTCTTTCTCGTTTTGCAGTACATAGGATGTTTAGAAATCAAAGCATCGATGAAAACATTAGATTTTGCCACCCGATCACAAGTAGCTAAGTGAGTATCACCATGACGTTGTCGTTAATCTGTTTGCTCTTGAAACTGAAACTAATCGATCCCATTGCAGGGAATGCATCAACCGGGTATGCGAAGCGGCCAGCCTGAAGTCCTCCAAGAAACGCCGCGTAGACAAACGGGTATTGCAGTGCATATCGGATGCGCCTGATATGGAACACGCCGGTACCAATGTGACGCTGACCGTGTCCAGCAAGTACCTCTCGCTGGTCAGTGTCGACACGGGTGACGTGATTGCCCAGCACGACATGCCTCGAATATCGTTTGCCTCCGGGGGTGATACGGTAAGTTGGGTGGTTTTTGTGTTCTTAACGAAGGATCATTTGGAATTGATGTTTTTTTTCTGATTCTAGGACACGCTGGACTTTGTAGCGTACGTAGCGAAGGATATGGAAGAATGGCGAGCGTGTTATGTGCTGGAATGCGGTGGTGGAGTAGCTCAGGATCTGATAGCAACGATCGGCCAGGCTTTCGAGCTGCGGTACAAAGAGTTTTTCAACAAACCGGAAACGCAGAACAAATTTCGGGAGTTTGTCAAAACCGACAAAGAATACTACAACGATCTGCCGGACAAGATGCCGCCGGATTTGCTCACGGAGAACGACCATTCCTCGCAGTCGCACAGTTCCTCCAGTGTTAGGGTATGGTTTTTGTTTGACGTGTTATGATGGGGGTATAATTTTTTGCTTATTGATTGCAGACACGAGAAAGGATATCCAGCAACTTGATAGATCTGAACACACCCCTTCCCAATCACGATTACGTGAACGACAAACATTCTAATACCAATTCGCACAGCAATAAGTCGGTATCTTCCAGTTCCATTGTGAAGGATGTTTTTGATATGCGTAAGTTGTTGTTCAAGTTATATCAGAATCATGCGCTTTAAGAATTTCACTAAATATGATTCATCGTACCAACAGAACCATTTGCAATCTCGTCGGAAATCCAGAAATCTCAGCTGTTAACCGAGTCGTGGTACCACGGTAACATTAGTCGAGCGCAGAGCGAACACCTCCTGAAGAACGATGGTGATTTTTTGGTGCGAGAATCGGCCGGTACCCCCGGCCAGTACGTACTGACAGGAATGCAGAACAACTTACCCAAGCATCTGTTGCTTATCGACCCAGAAGGGATAGTGAGTTGCTCGTATTTACAAGCATCTTTATTCTGGCTATAATTTCCCCCCTCTTTAAGGTACGAACCAAAGATCGAATCTTCGAAAGCATAAGCCATCTGATCAACTACCACTGGACGAACTCGTTGCCGATCATTTCCGCTGAAAGTGCCCTCCTCCTGAGGCATCCGATCCTGCGAACGACGGACCTCCTCTCGAAAGCCAAGCAGCAGCAGCAGCAGCAACAACAACAGCAACAACATTTAGGGCTCAACTGAGGGTGCGAGTGCCAGTGCTGTTCTCACGGTGGTCAATCACCGGAGCGCAGCACGCTGCTAGAACAACAACAACAAGGCTGTAGTAGCAGTAGTGGCAGTTACAAGAGGGGTAAAAAGTAGAACATTATGGATTATGTATAGATCAACCGTGAGAAATACAACTCAAAGAACTGTAAAACGAAAACTCTATAGATCCTATATTTTCTTTTTACTTACACTACTATTTTATCGATCAAATGAAAACAAGGGAAACTGTCGAGAACAAACCGGGAAACGTATCACCACGGGAGGGGAATTCAACTCTGATCTGATACACGTATGGTGTACAATAAAAGAGAAGACGAATAACATTTCGAATAAAACAAGAAATACCAAGAGATTAACAAGATTATATGAGGGGGAAAAAAACAAATATATTCTACCGCAAGCAGGTGCATGAAATCAGAAATTAAAATTACTAGAAGTTAGTAGATTTCTTCTATGACGAAAAAAACAAACATACAATTACTATTACCAGAGGTAAACAAAACACAAATAAAATAAGAATTATATATTGTTATCAATTACAGTGCTGTTGGTTGAAGAAATAACAAAACAAACACATAAGAAATTCCAACTGGGTAGCAGTATTTATTTTTTCGATTCTCATATTTTACTATATAACAACAACTCTTCTTTACTCAGCAGTATGCAAATTTCAGCACTGCATGAAAAAAAAACCAGACACACACGTGAATATACTTATAACGTAATATTTTACTCAAAAAAAAAACAAGTGCAGAAAATACCTTTCTAGATTCCACAACCCTAACAATACAATAAACGAGGACAACAAACAAAACAGATACATTCGAATCCGGCCCGGAGAAGGATGCATTTCTTATTGTTTAATTTTGCACAAACTCTTTTGCTGTGACTCGAAGGTGGAATAGATTTTTGTCGTATTTCAACTCTATATGACTGTGGATGTGGTTTCGAGGTGAACGCATGTGCGAGCATTTTAGGCAGAGAGGAGGATGTATGAATTAGTAGAACAGCATGTATGTGAGATGATAATTATTTATTCGTTGAAGAGCTGAAACGTGTATAAACAATAGCGACAGAAGGAAACTAACAAACGAACAACAAACAAACATACAAACAAATAGTTTTCAAGAATTCAACATTCAACCAGTAACATTCATTATTACCGTATTATTTGATAAAAAAAAAATACAAAGGAAATCTTACACATTACCAGTAATGGAAAGATGAAAAACTAAATGAGATGCAACATTTATCAAGTTACTATATGAAACAGGAGAGCAAACAAATGCTTGAAATAAATATTTAAAATACAGTTTAACTTCTTTTTTTGCTTGACGGTTGTTTGGTTTGCTCTGTGGATGATAATATGACGTTCATACGGGGCTTCTTGACAGGGAGGGGTGATGATGAGGGCCAGCATGGAGAGGAATGGCAGACGACCAACAGCCACTAAGTACCTAGTGCTTCTGCCTCTTTTATGGAATAGAGATGTGTGTTATCGCTTAAGGAGCACTCCTGCATGTGTATTAGCATTATGGGGATTTAAGATGATAGCCAATTTGAACTTTAGAAATAAACGTGGTTTGCTAAAATCGTGTTATATCGAGTGGTTCTGAGCAAAACCTTTTTCAGTCGGTTTTCAGCACCGCCGTGTGTTTTAGTAAAGTGGAATTTTTGTTGAATTCGGGTGACGGACTACAAAGCTGAACAAATTATAAACTGAAAATTATTTCTTTTGTGGAAGAGCCAACATGGCCGCCACGGTACAATACAGAAGCCACACTCAAAAAAAAAAATACACGTTCTATTCATGTGTTTTGGAATATGAAGACCATTCAGTGCTTGTCACCATAGAATCATGTGCTTTTCTCATGGATATCATGAGATTTACACAAAAAATAATATGTTTTTGTTGCTTATGAAATCAATGAGATCCTCATATAATTCTGCGCTACTGTTTTCTACTAGTGCATTTAACGTGTATGATACAAGAATCGCACGGGATCTCACTATAATGATGAGAAGAGTGCCTAAAGTGTCAAAACCAAGTCCCCGGCAAGGTGACAAATAACCTTAGTTTCACGTACCCACTTGCAAATAGTAGATGTCGCCACACAACGTAAACAAAGGGGCTGCCCTTCACCGCCGCAACGGTATTTCTCTATGGGAAGGCAAATTTTTGTTTCACCATGTGTGGATGTCAAACAACAAGCAAGAATGCCATGTGAAAAGAGCGATGTATGATTTTCGTGGTGAAATGAAATAAATCCAAACAAATTGAAACAGATTGATGGAAGTTTTTCTTATATAATCAAATGGAAATAAAAACACATTGGATAATTCTATTATATTTTGCTCTTGAATATTATCAGTCTTGAGAATAATGTTTCTGAGCATACTTGTGCGATGAAGACTTGCAATAAAAAGCCGTATCAATAAAAAGCGTTTACTTCCCCATCTTGCTATTGAGGGGTGACAAAAAAAATACAAAATTGATTCTTATTCGCGGTGAGTAGCAGGTTTGCTGTGTGAACACTAATATTTCGTATATCCATTTAAACATGAAGAAATAAATAAAATAAATAAAAATAAGCGTCTCTCAACAAAAGATATTCATAATGAGCTTCTAAAACGAATAAATTTCAGTGATTGTCTTTTGTTACACCTGTCCGTTTCATTAACATTGTTCCCCACCAACTTGAAGTTTCAAGAAACAGATGAGGCTATCTGTTTTTATGTTCAGTATTTTACTTACTTTATTTTTATTTACATATCTGCATTCGCCCTATTCAGATAACACTTCTGAAATTTGTGAGTTTGACAGAACCACCAGCACCAAATTTTCTGAGTACAGTGGAAATGTACTGGACTTGTCAAGTTGCCCCCGGGTTGGTCAAAACCAACATGGTAGGCAACCAACCCGGGGGCAACTTGACAACTCCACACTGATAAATTGAACTATTCCCATTTTGCTTGAAATTTAATCAATTTGACATTAAACTCAGTTTAATCATATCGAATGATTAAAAAATAAGCATCTGATATTAATCCCAGTTTAATCATGGTTGATTAGATTGTAGATTATCTTTTTTTGAATAAATTTTAATGATTTTAGATTCTATTTTAATAATTTTTGATTGAATTTTAATCTTTTTTGATTATACATCAGTATTCAAAAAGAATTAAATTTAATACTGGAAAGATTATTTCGATTTTAATCATGCATGACTATTGCCGAAGTAATCATGGCTCGGACTCAATAAGGTGAAGCGGGAAACTGCATACTTTTTAAGCTTTTATGATTTAATTTATCTTTGAGTGCAGTATATTGCCAGTGTACAAGTTTCAGAAGGGTTATCTGAATAGGGCGAATGCGGAAATGATGTACAATAAATAAAATCTAAGCTTAAAATTCATCCTCATTGTCGCGCGCCCACCAAACCGGGGAATGCGCGTCCGACGTCAAAATTAACATTAGTGGCATTGGAAGTCCAGTGATGCCAGCGAGAAATTTCGTCGTTTTCAGTCGTATGCACAATTCATAATCAGTTTGTGAAACTTTTTTTTTTTTGAAGTCCCGTGTGTTTTTGAGCAGAACAGAACCAAAAATTTAAACATATGATTTGTAAAACGAAAATATGTGATTGTCATCGAATTTATTGAAACAAATGAGAATTGAGCGAGGATACTATCGGTGATTTTGATGCTATTGCTATTATCGTCGATGATGAACAAAACAAGAATGGTTTTACAGCGAGTAAGAGCGTACTTGTTACAGTATCCCCCGCTAATCCGAAAAATTTGATAATCTGACTGTCAAGTCCATACAAATCAATGTTACCAATGTAAAAAAAAAGCTCCATAAGAGACCTTGATGTCAGATTAAGGAGAGCTGGGTGGATATTGTATACGCAGCTAGTACTGCAAAATGTACATTTTGAGGAACTATCTTAAAAGAGTAGAGCGGTGAACTTTGTGCAAACCGGTGGAAACTAACGATTTTAAATTGGCTCCGATGGGCATGCAATAACCTTTAACTCCGACGCAGGCAACGGCTGTAATTAGATTAATTCCATTAACTACTGCTTTAATTACAATAATTACACAGTGTAGAACATTAACTACATTAAGTCCATTAATTACAGACGAAATTTTGTAATTAAAGTACATTAATTTCATTTTCAATACTTTTAATTACATTGCGTGCCCTCGATTGGCTCACTACTTGACTAGACTATTGGTCCCAAGTACTTCTATAAGCGTACCCTATTCTAGTCAAAATTCTAGTACTACACTATGTTTATTTTGATTCACTATGACAGATAAAAGGAGGGGTTTGTGGATTTTCCTATATTTCGAGGGGTGCATCGATTAGCTTGGGACCGAAGAGAGTACCAGAGCTGAGCCAAAAAGTTGAGCTCGTTTCTTCGGGACCTTGTGGTCTTAGAGCTACCTCTATGTGTGTACGTCTTTCGAAGACCTTAAATGCATTTATACTAAATATGTGATATGTCATGCAATTTGACTAATTTTCAATTTCAGCAGTATACTTTACTTAGGCTCTGAACCATTTGGTGGATTATTTTAACTTTTGGTTAAAATTTGACAGATGAAAAGTTATCGATTAACCCTGCTATCCGAGCATGGTTATTTCTGACAGACAAGAAGTTAAAGTTTGACAACCGTGGCTCGAAAACCGGTCGATCGACAGCACGGGGATTTTCGAACATAGAAAATAACTTTCGAAATGTCACTTTTAACCACGAGTTAAATTTAACTCGGCAAATGGTTCACAGCCTTAGGCTCTGAACCATTTGGTGGATTATTTTAACTTTTGGTTAAAATTTGACAGATGAAAAGTTATCGATTAACCCTGCTATCCGAGCATGGTTATTTCTGACAGACAAGAAGTTAAATTTTGACAACCGTGGCTCGAAAAACGGTCGATCGACAGCACGGGGATTTTCGAACATAGAAAATAACTTTCGAAATGTCACTTTTAACCACGAGTTAAATTTAACTCGGCAAATGGTTCACAGCCTTAGCCCGTAAGAGAAACACGGGAAATTAAACATTTTTTACGGATCCCGGGCAAGCCTTCATTGCACAACTATGCTGAAAGCAATAATCTGAAGGATAATCAAATTCAACAGCAAAAACCCGAATGTATCCACCTATGGTGTGATCAGACCCTTCTTACTTATTCAAGTTTATTTATTTTATTGTCATTATCAGTGACCAAGCCCCCACCCCCGTGTCATCCAGTGACGCTACGCCACTGCCTGGGGGTACCCGGAATATATCCGGGTGTAGTCTATTTGGTGAGGCTACCAATCACCTTATCATCGTATTTTAATGTGATTTAATGGGTTTTAATTCAATTCATATTCAAGCAACTTCCCCGGGGTACCCGGAACATGTCCAAGTGTGTCCAATGTGGTCTGGAACACTTAACACGACTTGCATTGATTTTATTTTTGAATTCTGTAGTAATTTGATGTGTCGCATGATGGTTTTGATACGTTTTCCGTTAAATCCAGCGTAAAGGCCCATATTCACCGGATTTTATTCCGGCCATATCTCCGGAACCGCGTTCAATAGCGTTCAATGGTACCCCAAGACCTATCATTTGGCGCCGAGTTTGTCCAAATCGGTTGAGCGGTTGCTGAGAAACGTGAGCGCATTCATTTCGTTACATACACACACACATACACACACACACACACACACACACACACACACACACACACACACACACACACACACACACACACACACACACACACACACAGACATGTTCCGATCTCGTCGAGCTAAGTCGAATGGTATATGACACTCGGCCCTCCGGGCCTCGGATCGATAGTCGGTTTTTCAAGTGATATCTATACCCTTCTTTGTAAGAAGGGTAAAAATAACAGAGGAAACCAAAGTATTTTTATTGCCATTCGATATAGATGATATAAGAAGCTGAAACTTGGCTCAATTTGTACGGATTTATTTCACTTCACCACGAAAAACATAAATTAGCTCTTTTCATATGGCATTCATTTCTGTTGTTTGGCATCCACACATGGTGAAACAAAAAGTTGGTTTTCCATAAAAAAATACCGTTGCGGCGGTGAAGGATAATCCCTTTGTTTACGTCGTGTGGCGACATCTACTATTTTCAAGTGGGTACGTGAAACTAAGGTTATCTGTCACCTTGCCGGCGACTTGTACACTGTACACAAACATCATCCTCTGATCGAATGAAACCTCAGACCATTCAAACCAAAACACCGAAATTGTTTTTTCGAATGATACCTGCAACCGGATGAC